TTATAAACAAAGCATAAGGTCAGGGCGGGACGCATGGTATCAAACTTTATAAACAAAGCATAAGGTCAGGACGGGCCACATGGGATCAGACTTTATAAACAAAGCATAAGGTCAGGGCGGGCCGCATGGGATCAGACTTTATAAACAAAGCATAAGGTCAGGGCGGGACGCATGGTATCAAACTTTATAAACAAAGCATAAGGTCAGGACGGGCCACATGGGATCAGACTTTATAAACAAAGCATAAGGTCAGGGCGGGACGCATGGGATCAGACTTTATAAACAAAGCATAAGGTCAGGACGGGACGCATGGGATCAAACTTTATAAACAAAGCATAAGGTCAGGGCGGGCCGCGAGGGATCAGACTTTATAAACAAAGCATAAGGTCAGGGCGGGACGCATGGGATCAGACTTTATAAACAAAGCATAAGGTCAGGGCGGGACGCATGGGATCAGACTTTATAAACAAAGCATAAGGTCAGGGCGGGCCGCGAGGGATCAGACTTTATAAACAAAGCATAAGGTCAGGGCGGGACGCATGGGATCAGACTTTATAAACAAAGCATAAGGTCAGGGCGGGACGCATGGGATCAGACTTTATAAACAAAGCATAAGGTCAGGGCGGGCCGCATGGGATCAGACTTTATAAACAAAGCATAAGGTCAGGGCGGGACGCATGGGATCAGACTTTATAAACAAAGCATAAGGTCAGGGCGGGACGCATGGGATCAGACTTTATAAACAAAGCATAAGGTCAGGGCGGGACGCATGGGATCAGACTTTATAAACAAAGCATAAGGTCAGGGCGGGACGCATGGGATCAGACTTTATAAACAAAGCATAAGGTCAGGGCGGGACGCATGGGATCAGACTTTATAAACAAAGCATAAGGTCAGGGCGGGACGCATGGGATCAGACTTTATAAACAAAGCATAAGGTCAGGGCGGGACGCATGGGATCAGACTTTATAAACAAAGCATAAGGTCAGGGCGGGACGCATGGGATCAGACTTTATAAACAAAGCATAAGGTCAGGGCGGGACGCATGGGATCAGACTTTATAAACAAAGCATAAGGTCAGGGCGGGACGCATGGGATCAGACTTTATAAACAAAGCATAAGGTCAGGGCGGGACGCATGGGATCAGACTTTATAAACAAAGCATAAGGTCAGGGCGGGACGCATGGGATCAGACTTTATAAACAAAGCATAAGGTCAGGGCGGGACGCATGGGATCAGACTTTATAAACAAAGCATAAGGTCAGGGCGGGACGCATGGGATCAGACTTTATAAACAAAGCATAAGGTCAGGGCGGGACGCATGGGATCAGACTTTATAAACAAAGCATAAGGTCAGGGCGGGACGCATGGGATCAGACTTTATAAACAAAGCATAAGGTCAGGGCGGGACGCATGGGATCAGACTTTATAAACAAAGCATAAGGTCAGGGCGGGACGCATGGGATCAGACTTTATAAACAAAGCATAAGGTCAGGGCGGGACGCATGGGATCAGACTTTATAAACAAAGCATAAGGTCAGGGCGGGACGCATGGGATCAGACTTTATAAACAAAGCATAAGGTCAGGGCGGGACGCATGGGATCAGACTTTATAAACAAAGCATAAGGTCAGGGCGGGACGCATGGGATCAGACTTTATAAACAAAGCATAAGGTCAGGGCGGGACGCATGGGATCAGACTTTATAAACAAAGCATAAGGTCAGGGCGGGACGCATGGGATCAGACTTTATAAACAAAGCATAAGGTCAGGGCGGGACGCATGGGATCAGACTTTATAAACAAAGCATAAGGTCAGGGCGGGACGCATGGGATCAGACTTTATAAACAAAGCATAAGGTCAGGGCGGGACGCATGGGATCAGACTTTATAAACAAAGCATAAGGTCAGGGCGGGACGCATGGGATCAGACTTTATAAACAAAGCATAAGGTCAGGGCGGGACGCATGGGATCAGACTTTATAAACAAAGCATAAGGTCAGGGCGGGACGCATGGGATCAGACTTTATAAACAAAGCATAAGGTCAGGGCGGGACGCATGGGATCAGACTTTATAAACAAAGCATAAGGTCAGGGCGGGACGCATGGGATCAGACTTTATAAACAAAGCATAAGGTCAGGGCGGGACGCATGGGATCAGACTTTATAAACAAAGCATAAGGTCAGGGCGGGCCGCGAGGGATCAGACTTTATAAACAAAGCATAAGGTCAGGGCGGGACGCATGGGATCAGACTTTATAAACAAAGCATAAGGTCAGGGCGGGACGCATGGGATCAGACTTTATAAACAAAGCACAGGTCAGGGCGGGACGCATGGGATCAGACTTTATAAACAAAGCACCGGTCAGGTAGCGGATTCACACGGCTAGTAGCTGAGACACACCGTGCGTAGCTCTGAAACAACTCAGCACTCTCTCTCTGGAACCTTGCAGCTTAAGGCCCCATTCGCACGTAGCCATTTATCGCGAGAAGTCGCCGGCTAATGATATTCAATGGAGCTGTCTTAGCTCCATGTCGCTTGTCGCGGTCGCTGGTCTTCTACGGGAACCTTTTTTCTGTGGATTTTGTGCGATTTTGCTTTTTTCTAATGGAGCCCGACGGAGAAGGTGGCGCTACCGTCGCCCCGAAAGTCGCGCTATCCCGCCCGCTGCAAAAGGTATGCCGCTACGTGTGAATGGGGCCTTATAGTGATCAAACAGGAAGTGATGTCAGAAGGTGTGGCAGAAAGGATGCAGTTCCTGTCTATAACAGGAAGCACTCCAGTGCTGCCATTTTCATGTAAGGATGCCATTAAACATGTGCACGCGGCCTCACTATTTGCAGGACATGCTGCGAGTGCGAGGACCCCGCGATTGATACAGGTAAGTTGAGAACTGTGACACTTCCCCGGCCTAACCCTAATCACACGAGACTTGATTGCAGTTCATGATATTTTTCTCGTGTTTTTACCTGGTAATATTTCACTAAAAAAAGTCATGTGACCATTTTATCTCATGTGATAACATTTTGTGAACTGACCCCTGGATCAGGTAATCTAATCTTTGGGTTTCTACTGTACCGCCCACGTTAACCCCTAACTGTCCCTCCAGTTCTGTAGATGAAGGATAACATGAGGTACACAATTTATTAGATTGCTCGTATGATGACCGCATTCCGAAAACAAGAGCACTTCATCATAACGCAGACAGACAGATATTCGGTTGTCTGATGGTGGCCACGGCAAAGCCATAACAACAGGCAGACTATGTGCAAAGTAACAGCGTACATACAATAGTGACAGAACATGAAGGATAACTGCTCCAGTTTAAAGTGCGCCCGTTCTGGGACCGGTACTGGTCAGGAAAGGCAGGTTAAGCAATAACCAGAGATGACTAATTCCGTATTAGTGGCAGTCTAAATCTTAAGACATTTCAGCTCCGTGTGCATGTTGATGGCATTTCATGTTGGAGTAGTGATGGAAGGACTTTTTGCTGCCCATGGGTGATTGGCACTCATAGAAGGACAGAGACCAGATGCTATGACTGCTCATGTTTAGAGGAGCTCCAAGTACATCTTCTTACAGCTTGGTGAAGGACTTTCCACACACTTCAATTGGCCCATACACGTGTAAAGTTGTAGACGTATCATCCATGGACAATGACATGAGACATGGAGAAGATAGATATTAGGATGGCACTCATGGCTGGAGGCTTTGTACGAATCTTCTGATTATGGTCCGTGATGGAACAGGAATGAATTATCAGACAACAACCCTAATGCCTAAAGCAGCCTAAGTTCCAAACGTATCTTCTCACATAGACTCATGTTGCAGCATTCACACACAAGTCCAGCTGACCGACATACAAGCATAGCTGTTGAAATAACATCTACTGTATGTACAATGAAAAGAGAAGAGATGATAGACATTCTGGAAGCACTTAGAAGCTCTGTATGCAACTTCTGGAGATGGTCCATGGTGGAACAATGACAGGAACAAACACAGAGCAATGAATGGTCACGCTGGTACAGTTGTAGGAACATAGTCAGACTAATGATTGCTAGAACAGTCCTAATGGCTAAAGCTTTCCAAGCTCTAAGTGGATCTTGTTGGTACTGTACAGACTGCTCACCCAACTGCTATGAACACTCCTAGTGGGATGGTCCTCACACATTGAGCAGATAAAGCTGTGTCTGCATCCTCTGGTGGTGCTCACCTTGGGGCAGTGATGGAAGGACTTAGACCTGTGTTCCAGTTGGTTAGCTTACAGCTTGATTCATATAGACATCAATGACATTGTATATACCAGACACGTCATCTGAAGACATTCTGCATCTTTCATTGGTGCTAATACAGGCAGTGTGATACAAGGACTTCCACACACAGGTCCAGACGGTTGGTACAAATACGGAATATAAAATGATACAAGAAAGAAATGGAGAAAACAAAGGTGTTTACTGAAGCTTGGATCCTGTGTGCAATCCATGGTGGAGAAGTGGTTGAAGCATACACAGCTCATCTATCACATAACATGAACCAGACACATAATGGTGCTCAGGGGGCTTGGGTTTGCTGTGTATCTTCTGATGGCGGTTGGTGGTAGAGCAGTGATCTATCACATAGAATAAGACAGACAAAACCATAACTATGCTCACATCCAGAAGAACTCCAAGTGGACTTTCTGATGGCCATTCATGGTGGACAAGTGACTGAAGAACACACAACAATCTTTTGTATGACAAGAGAAGGACAGAAGCCATGACTGCGTTCAATGAACAATGTCTATATTATGGTGACAATGTCATGGTGGAGCCTTGACTGACGCACATACACAAATGATGATGGTGGTCTCATTTCTACAGAAGCTTGAGTTCAATGTATATCTTCTAATGGACATTCATGGTGGAAAAGTGACTGAAGAACACTCAGCTTATTTCTCATATGAAACGAGAGGGATAAGAACTGTGACTGTGCTCACATAGTTCCATGTATACCTTCTGAAGGCCGTTCACCGTGGAGCAGTGATTGAAGCACGCACAGCCCATGTATCACATGGTATGAGGACATCTAGAGAAGCTCCAGCTCGATGTGCATCTTCTGGTGACGGCTCATGTTGGAGCAATGACGGAAGGACTTTCCACAGTCTTTACACTTGTAGGGCTTCTCTCCTGTATGGACACGGTGATGTTTCTTTAGTTCTGAGCTGAGGATAAAGCTTTTTCTGCACACTTCACAGGTAAATGGCCGCTCGCCGGTGTGGGTTCTCCGGTGGCGTATAATTTGGGATCTCTGACTAAAGCTTTTCCCGCACTCTGTACAAGCAAATGGTTTAATGCCAGAATGAGTTCTTTGGTGTATGACAAGGTCAGAGCTGCGGATGAAGCTGTTTCCGCACTCAATACATATAAAAGGCTTTTCACCTGTGTGGGTCCGATAATGAACCATGAGGTCGGCGCTCTGACTGAACCGTCGTCCACATTCGATACAAGCGTATGGCTTCTCACCTGTGTGAATGCGCTCATGGTTCTTCAGTCCAGAATTCTGGCTGAATTGTTTTCCACAGTACACACACGCATACGGCTTCTCACCTGTGTGAATGCGCTCATGTTTACGAAGAACCGAACTCCGTCCAAAATGTTTCCCACAGAAGATGCAGCCATATGGCTTCTCACCAGTGTGGGAGCGCTGATGAACGATGAGATTGGACTTCCCAATAAATGTTTTACCACAATCTGCACACACAAACTCTCTCCCTGATCGCTTCTGCTCTGCAGAGCAGATTTTAGGGTCACCGTCACATTCCCTACTACTGGCAGTAAGGACAACTCCTGGAATATATGGGTTGTGTAACTGGCGGTGCTCAATGTACGACGTCTCCTGAGAAAAGCTTTGACCGCACTCAATACAAATATAAGACTCTAAATCCATAGCTAGAGTGCAGGACTCTGAACAGTCTTCACTCTCTGATCCACCCAATACAAGGCCACGGTTTAAGATGGTTCTCCGCTGACTGGTAGGGATTGTTAGGTGCCCAAGTGACCTGCAACCGACTGGAACATCAGCTGACAAAACCTTCACAGGGTCACACCTTGTCCTGCGGTTCCTCTTCCTTGGAGTTTGCAGCAGGAAGTCATCCGTTGTGTGAGCGGTGCCTTCAGGTGGGACGGCTCTTCTTGGGGGATCAGAATCACTAACTAAAGATAAAATGAGATACAGAAGATTATGAAGATGATATTTTGCATGAAAACTAAAACAAGTCTTTGTTACCGGAGTTACAACAATATAATACGTCGTCTTTCCCGTGTAATGTGCAGATATTGTACTCTCCCCCTACAGAGTCCTAAAGGACGGGAAATAGATTCACATGGGGGAGTCATATTCAGATGATCCCCAATATATCATTTCTCTCATTAGTCTTCTAATGGTGATCACCTCGTTCCATCCTCAGACTGTCCTCACCGGCCACTCATCTCTCCTCCACTCACCTGGACCATAAACAGGGCCGGATTTACTCCCCCTGCCGCCCCAAGGCCGGGTTCCACAATACGCCCCCCTCCCGTGTTGCCAATCCCCCCTCCCCATCAATTGAGAATGGCAACCAGATGGCAGGG